CACAAGAGGTGTGTTGCCTCTTTTCCAAACCTCCCTCTCCTTGTTTACTCAGCTAAGGAAGTCTTTCATATGTACTTGAGGTCATTTCCCCCCCCCCCGACACTGTGTAACGCTGGGGTGGTTCACTGCTAATGCTACATACTCTGCTGAATACATCATCCCTTTCTTCAGGGGGAAAAAAATCACCATTTACTCACTCTTGCTCTCTCATTTGGGTGATCGCTACTATTGGAGGTTACCGGACTAGACCGGAGATCTAACCCGTGTTTTCTTCCAGAAACAAAGAGTTGTCAAAGCATAGCAGGAATATTCAAAGAGGGCCTGAAAAAACAGCCAATGTATAAACAAGATTCAAGCAAACAGAAGGGAGGGTGGGGAGGACAGAGGAAAGTTGACTTGTCCTAGCCATAGAAAGACAAGAGGGCTCAATGCTTCTAATCGAAATGAAAGTGGGCATGAAGTGTTGCTAATAAAGAACTGTAAATGTTTAGACATCCATTGTGGGACACTAATGAATACAGAGGAGAAACGTTGCCAACGTGGGAATTGTGTGTAGCCGGGAAGAGGAAGGTAGAAGATCTTCCTGCGGAAGGTTATCTTTAAAACCGCTTTTCTCCCCTGATGTGCTACATAATAGACAGCAGTTGACAGTTCCGTCAACTCTAATAGTCAAATAAGGATAATCTAGCACAGCCAGTAATTTGACTTGATATTTTGGAGGCCAGTGGCCTGTCAAATTGATAGCACTTCTTTGCAGTGGCACTTATTAGCTCAGATCCTGTTTGACACACGTTGCTTGGGATGCTGTGTTTTATTCCTTCAAAGCTTTTTCGGGTGGGAAGGATAATTTTGGAAATGTAGCACATTAAAATGCATCTGTCCAAAGAGAGTGGGGGTTTTTTGTTTTGTTTTGTTTTGTTTTGGGGAGTAATTCAGTGAAATTGCTAGAAGTGTCAATCCCAAGGAGCAATAACTTTTCGTGAGGAAGTACAAAGATATGTCTGGGATCTGGAAAATCGGTTTGGGGAGTAATTCAATGAAATTGCTAGAAGTGTCACTCCCCAGGAGCAATAACTTTTTGTGAGGAAGTAGAAAGATATGTCTGGGATCTGGAAAATCGGGAAAGCTAAATCACGAGATCAGGCCACATTTATCTTGCTGCTGCAAAAGGAACCAAACACAAGGAAGGAGGATGTTGTGGTGAGATTTATAGAGATGAGCGGGGGTCCTGTTTTGTTGTTGTTCTTCTTCTTGGCACAAATGCAAGCTGTGCCTCCAAACTGGGGGTGGGGGAATCAAACCCCAGACCTTCATATTAAGTTTCTGATAAACACTGTTTTCATCAATTGCATCCAAGAGACAACTCTTTAGAAAGAAATCTGCAGACTCGGCAACCCCAGTAATCCACAGTAATCCACCCTCACACAGTCCTGCACAAATGCTCCATAACAAAATCTGTGACGTGCCCAAACCATGTCTTTAATGAGCTGCGATAGTACAGACAACTCAACTGATATTATAAATCCTGTCCATAAGGACTGGGAAATGTCAGGGTGCACTCTCTCTCTCTCTCTCTCTCTCTCACACACACACACACACACACACACACACACACACACACACACACACACACAAACTCCTGCTGTCTTTTATAATTTCTTTGCCAAACGAAGATTTGGTAATGACTGGAAACGATTATTTCCAAGCCATATGAGAAGCTTCTGCAAACAACTGCTTAGTATAAGACGAAGATTTTCAACAGGAAATCCTGAAAACAATCTTCAGCCAAGGTACTGAAGTACAATGTTCAAAAGGCTGGTTTAATATATGACTAAGTGTCAGGAGTCGGGTTTCTGAGAATTACTTTTCAGATAAACAACTTTATAGCACTGCACTTAATCTCACTTACTAGGGACATCTCATTTATCACTGAATTACAAGTAACTTTAATTCTATTGACGTTGCCATAAAGTCGGTAGAAAATCAAGTCTGGCAGTTTTAAAGATTTTTGTCTTATCATAAGGCTGTGCGTGCACAACACGATCCCAGAACAGATACACTCACAAAGACAACCCCTGCTCCTTCCTTGGATGAGGCTGCCTCCTAAAGCAGAGGATTATAAGGACCGGAATTTTAAAATGCACATTATTATTTTTAAAAGGATGGCTTGCAAACCCAGCATCCTTGCCTCTAAACAGTTAAAACAGTCTCAATATCTTTTTCTCTCTTAAAAAAAAACCCCAAAAAAACAGTTTTATAGTATGGATGTGAGTGGGTGTGTTTTCCCCTCTTCCAATTTGAAAAAAAAGAAGAAAAGAAATTGGAAGCTGTTCAACATGAAACTGACCTGTACCGAAAGGTGGCGCTGTCGAGGTTTAAACCGAAGTTGAGCGTTTGACTTCTTTCTGTTTTCCAGTGTTGCATTTTTTTTTTTATAAGCAGTATCTCCCCTCCCTGTCCCATCATCTCCTCTCCAAAGACAGCGAGCTGAGCGGGCATGAATCGGGGGTCTTCCCCTCCCCATACACTTTAAATCAAATAAATACATTCCTGGCTCCGAAACCGAACACAGGCTTTCACTCCTCTCCTGCAGCCTCTTTTAAGACTCGGTTTAACTTTCCCAAAGCTCATCATTTAAAACAAACAACTGCGAAAATGTCGTAGATTTTTTTCCCCTCCCTGCCAAAAAAACTCCGAAAATATTGTGGATTAATTTTTCCCCCAGGCCAAAAACACCGAAAATAATGCAGCTGTTTTTCCAGACCAAACTTTCCGCCCCCAAAAAAACACAACAACAACAACAACAAAAGCAAATCAAGATTAAGGCAAGAGAGGATGGAGAGAAACTGTAGAGATCAATACGCGACTTTTAAAAAAAACTTTCTTGACCTCTGGAGGATGCATTGATTGGAAGTGGGCGGAGAAACACCCGGCTTCGGGCGAAAAAAAAATTATAATAACTCGGGACACGGAGGCGCGGCTCGCTGGTCTAGGGAGAAAAATCGGATGGTTCCCTTGACACGGGAGCAAAGGCCAGGAGAGGGACCGAGATCTGATTTTCCTGGACGAAGGAGGCAGGCGCTCCGAATTAACTCTCCGTCACCCGACAGACCTCCAGAGTTGCTGGTGCAAATTCTGCGGAAAACCCCCCCTCCCCGTTTCTAGGAAGAAAACAGGGGCGGCGCGATGAATTAGGATCCTTTTCTTTTCAAATCCCCTCTTTAGGATCCCCGTGGGATCCAGTGGATCTCCAAGGGCTCTCTGGCCATCTTCTGTGTCTAGCTAGCC